TAGATGCAGTTCCATTGAGGACTACACGTTAAGTGCGGTTGGTCAGCCAGTTACGAATCCATCTGGTAGTGATGCTGTCTAACCCACCTAGACAGACTTATGGTATGGAACAAAGTAAGTCGGGGTCTGAGCCACAATTATGCACTGAGGATGATTGTGGACTGCTGTGAAAAATATCGTAAGCCACTTCTTTATATCATTTTTCTATTTTTCTTCAAAAATGTTTCATTTATCACATTTTTTCTTTTGTTTATTTTTCCTTTTTCTTCCTCACTTTCTATCAGATCTTTTTCTTCTAATCTAAAAGTTTTAATAAAAAATTCTATTAAAAATATCAAATGTCTCCTAGCTCTACTAGGAGAAAATCCTTCGCAGCTGCCTTCTACAAGCCTTTTTTGGTCTGCTGATTATAACCAATGTCTATGGAGATTTTCAGCTCTGAGAGCTGAAGAAGCTTCTTGGATGAGAAGCGAAACGTCTTCAAAGAAAAAAACAGAAAGTCCAGCTGCCTCTTGAAAATGGACCCTTAGGATTATAACCAATCCTCAATCTATTCAAGGATCATATCATTAAGTGAAATGATTAGTAGATGAATATCATGGTAGTTTAGACGTGACTGCGACCGTGCTTGCAACTTTACTTCATCCTTCCAGATTCAATTTCTCGTATCCTCCCTGAAGTAGGTGTTTTAAAAAAAAAATTTGTACATTCTATTGCAAACATGTTAATTCTAATATATTTTTCCATTTAAAAAATTGTAATAATTTATTACTTTTTAAATCTTTGGATAGCATTCTTAGAATTTATAACAAGAATATTTTAAAGCCTCTGTTTAATACCATGTGTGGTTGGGTACAGTATTTGCAAGTAGCGTAAATAGGAAAAAAAAAAGATTGAATGGAAACTCAAATCTATGAACATTTGGTTTACTGCAGTGCCACAGTGGTTAGAGTGTGGTACTGCAGGCTACTTCTGCTGATCACCGACTGCCAGCAGTTTGGCAGATTGAATCTCACCAGGCTCAAGTGTGATTCGGCCTTCCATCCTTCCGAGGTATGTAAAATGAGGACCCAGATTGTTGGGGGAAATATGCTGACTGTAAACTGCTTAGAAAGGGCTGTAAAAGCACTATGAAGTGGTATATAAGTCTAACTGCTATTGCTACTGTGTCTCCCTGAAAATAAAACCTCCCTGGATAATAAGTCTAATCGGGCTTTTGAGCGCATGCGCTATAATAAGCCCTCCCCCAAAAATATTGCAACACAGTAGCAGCCATGAGGTGACCACACTCGCCGCCTCCTGCACCCCAAAAATAATAAGACCTCCCCAAAAATAAGGCCAAGTGCTTATTTCGGGGGGGGGAAGAAAATAAGACCCTGTCTTATTTTCAGGGAAACATGGTACAAGTACTGCTGTCCTCACATTACAGAACTCATTCAGCAATTATTCAAAGTTATGATGGCACTGAACAAAAGAGACAAAGAAAAATTATAGTTCCAAACACCTTCCTAACTTGAGGATTAGTTATTTTACATAAAGCTAGGCAGAGTAATATTATAATATCATTTGAAATGAAAGAGTGCAGAGAGACCATAATTGGGGCTGGCAATAAGGTCAGTGAAACGGTGGCTGTAGCCCACATTTAGCAACCATTCGCAGTGACGGCAATTATGAAAAAGAATCTTTATAATAATTCTTTACCATCTCTCCCCAGCCCCATTTCCCCTCCTTTTTAAGCTTTTGGGTTGCTGAATACCTCCTCAGCATCCTGAAGGATGAACTGCCTGAGGGGTAGGATCCCCTGGCTCTCCAGATCAACTTCCTCCAGAGTCTCTTCCACTTTCACCTTCATGCAGAAATCCATCTTTTCTCTACCAATCCAAGCTTTCCCACTGATGTTCGGATCTCTTTGTGGTACAGCCTCCCCTCTGGTCTTCCCAGAGCTCTGATCCTCCTTGACTCTCCCCAAGGAGGCCAGGAAACCTTTGGCATCTTCTTCCCAAAGAGATGGTGCTGCGGGAAATCCTGCCGCTCCTTTCAAGAGTTCCTGCCTTTGAGAGTCCCAGCGTTGGTGGATTTCCTCCTGTGACTCCATCTTAATGTGAGATGGGCCATCCTTGGTCAAAAAGTCCCTGATGGTCCTGACTTGGACAATGAACGGGTCTCTTCCTCCATTCTCAGTTCCCTCTTTTTCTTTGCATACCACCACACGCTTCTGTTCCTCCGAAGTTGAGCCTCCCTGCAGCTACAGAAAGGAAAAAACAAATAGTAATAAGGACAGCGCAACATAAAAGGAATCAAAAGACCCTTTTCTGTGTTTATAGTATTCATCTTTCAGATTTGCAAAATATTTTTTGCAGGGTTTTGGCTTTCAGGTTTGGGGCCTTTAAGTACAAGGTCCTCTATGCTTGCAATGAGCTCCCTTGTCGGTTCCACCACAAAACCGCGGTCGACTAAAGCGTGCTCGACGAAACCGCGTACCTGACGTCATCACAGTGTGACGAAAAAAGCACGCTGTGAGCGCTAAAGCTAAAATTAACCCCTAACCCTAAACCTAACCTCCCGAAACCTAACCCTATCCCTAAACCTAACCCTAAACCTAACCCTTAACCTAACCCTAAACTAACCCTAAACCTACCCCTAAACCTAACGCTAACCCTTAACCTAACCCCAAACC